TAAAAACATTTTTTAATGTTTTATTTATTTCTGAGAGAGAGAGAAAGACAGCATGAACCAGGGAGGGTCAGAGAGAGAGGGAGATACAGAATCTGAAACAGGCTCCAGGCTCTGAGCTAGCTGTCAGCACAGAGCCCGATGCGGGGCTCGAACCAACGAACTGTGAGATCATGACCTGAACCAAAGTCGGAGGCTTAACCGACTGAACCACCCAGGCGCCCCTAAAGTTTATTTATTTTTGAGAGACTGAGAGAGAGAGAGAGAGAGAGAGAGAAAGACATAGGATCTGAAGTGGGCTCTGCATTGACAGCAGAGAGCTTGATTCAGGGATTCAGAGCTCGAAGCCATGATCCCTGAGATCATGACCTGAGCAGAAGTCAGACGCTTGCTTAACAGAGAGGGCCACCCAGGAGCCCCTCTTCTTTTAACCTCTTCTTTTAATATGCAGGGATGCTTGAGACATGGTAGTGGTCCAGGCCTATCTGCCTTTGATAACTTTTGTGCCACCTGTCAAGCAAGCCAGGAGGCAGGTGGACAAAACAGCTGCCTGTCTGCTCTGGGCAGGGCCAACCTGGACCACTAGGTCATCTGTCCACACCCTCACCAGGCTGGAGGCCATGTCCACTGCTTAGGTGTCCTTATGGCCCGAGGCACCACGGAGCATGCTCTGTGCAGAATGGAATTGGAGACGTGCCCAATCCCAAGAGGCCACTTCAGGATTTCCCTCTCAGCTGGAGCAGGAAGTGGGAGAAAAGCAAGAATTGGGAGTCCATTCGCCATCAGGTCCCTGGCACAGCCGAGGGCACCTCCCTGGGCGGGTTCTGCCACAGGCTGTCCTGGAGTGGCACGGGAAGGAGCCGCAGGTGGATCCTAGTGAAGGGCGCGCCTACCCTGGGAGCCGGGCTGGAGACTAACAGGGTCTAGACTGGTGGGATAGGACTGGGCAGGGAGAGATGCCTTTGGTTTTCAAGACTGTGAGCTTGAGTTTCAGTTCTTTTTAAAGAAAAGAGAAGGAAGTCACTCGGGTGTGATTTAGCTGGGGCAGTTGCACCCATTTGGGGAGCTGGGAGCCGCTGAGTCCCCACACCCGCACGCTCTCTGGCCCTGGTCGGGTCGAGGGAGGCCTCAGATCCCGGGGTATGGGTAGTGTCTAGGAAGTCCCGACGCTCAGCCCAGGGGAGGGGTCCTGGCAGCGGTCTCCAGGAACGGGGGCTCTGTGGTCACCTGGTCAAGTATAGGACTTGTTCTGGAGATTAAATAAAACCATATTTCAAGGCTAGCCCAGCCCTGGACTCCCTGTCCTTAAGAACTGGAGCTGTTCCAGGAAGCCTGGTCTCAGCATAGTGGCTCTGGAAGGTTCTGGCGATGGCTAGCTAGGTGGTGGGGGAATGGGAGGGGGTTGTGTTTGCCATCTCTGCAAGAAGCCTTACTGGGGGAACCCACCAGCAGTCACCTTCCACCCTGTCCACATTGTAAAATTGAGAGCTGGGAAGTCCCACTGGCCCCCCTGATTTCCTGGACCACTTTTCCCTCTCCCCCTTGCTTCCATTTCTCCCGAATTCTCCTGCAAGTCCCCCCGCCCGCCCATACCCAAATATTTGATTGACAGAGACTGAGGCAGTTTAGGTCAATAAACTTTTATGGAATGCATTATAATAATAATAGCAACAAGGCAACTGAACTTCAGAGAGGTTGCTTAAGGGCATTCACTTAGTACTCTGCTTGAGTCTAGGGTCTGAGGGGACTGGAGAGTATAGATGAATCAGTAACTGTGTTTAAGATAAGGCGAGGTTGTTTGCGTTTTGGGGTCAGAGCTGTCACTGGGTATTTTCTGAGTACAAGCTGTGTGCCCAGCTCAGAGCTGGCTTCCAGGGGACAGGAAGAGAGATCAAAAAGATAGATGAGGTCCCTACCCTCCACCCAAAAGACTAGCATTTATTCTCCATCTAAGGACCTTGTTTTGTTCTGAGAGACAGAGCGTGCACGTGGAGGAGAGGCAGAGGAAGAGAGACAGAGAATATTTTTTTTAAATGCTTATTTATTATAGACAGAGAGAGAGAGGAGTGGAGGGGCACAGAGAGAGAGAGAGAGAGAGAGAGAGAGAGAGAGAGAATCCCAAGCAGGCTTCACACTATCAGCACACAGAGCCTGACACGGGGCTTGATCCCAGGAACAGCGAGATCATGACCTGAGCCGAAACCAAGAGGCGGATGCTCAGCCCACTCAGACACCCAGGTGCCCCTCTCCTAATTTTTGACAGCAGGTAGACATCGTTTTGACTTTTTAACATCAAATTAACAAATCATTTTGTTTATAAATAATACTGTTGGGTTTACAAATAATTTTGTAAACTCTCTTTTATCTATTTTGAAAGCATGTTCCCTGCCTCTTGGTACTCTTCACTGTTCTCACATTCGTGCTGCATATTATCCCTTCATGGCCATACCATATTTAGCCACTTCTCTGTTACTGCTTGATTCCAGTTTTTCGTCATTATAAATAATGCAGCTATAAATATCTTTGTACATATAGCTTTTTTCTTCTTTGAAATTATGTCCTTGGAATCAGCGCCCAGAAAGGGGATGATGACTGGGTCAAAGGGTTGACTGTTTTATAGCCCTTGCTGTGGAAACCCAGACGGCAACCAAGAACATTTAACAGCTCAGTGAAGCAGCCTGTGGACTGGACACCCTCAGCAGTACTGGCGCCCTGTGTTTGTAAAGAATATTGTATATAATAAGCACTTACTGGCACCTACGATGTATCAGGTTTGTGCCAGTAGGACATCTGGGGAAGAGGAGAGCAGCTCTCCGTTCTTGGGGAACAGAGAGGCTGTGGCTTTTCAACCTTTTTTCTCCTCCTAGAACACAAAATATTCAAAACTACTGCATATCTAAAGGTAGACTCAGAATTTAGGGATTCCCCCAAATTCTGTAGGGACTTGAAACACTAACATGTTTTCCAATCCACAGAATCTAATCGAAGAGGGTGTATGTTTGGTTTTGATGAAGCAGGTGGCTGCTTTTTACAATTATTTGTAAACCTCCATTCCTTTTTCTCAGATTCAAGAAAGACAGGAGGCAGGAGGGTGAGAGGGCTGTATAGATAACATAGACCCACTTTGATTTCTAAAAACAAGCAAACCAATCTGAGAGGTATATTTGTGCTGTGATGACACAATTGGATAAATAAGGTGATCTGTTTATATGTAAATCTGTGCACAGGGCTCCTTGGTAAGTATGCCAGGATCACAAAGAGACAGAGCTGTGGTTTTAACAACTGCACAGAAAATGTGATGTGTGCCAAGCACTGTGCTGGGGCCCAAGTGCCAGTATGAACGAGTGCCAAGACATCTATGAAGAACCTGGGCCCCAGAGAGGGGAGGTGGTCATAAGGGTGGCCAGTGTATCGCATTCATTAAATACTACGTTCCAGGCACTATTCTAGGCACTGGGATACAGCAGTGATCAAAAACAGTTAAATACTGCTACCCTCCCGGAACTAATGCTTAGGGGTGGGGATGAGGCAAACAATAAGTAAAATATTAAGTATGTCAGATGGTGATAAACACAATGGAAAAAAATAAAGTCGGAAAGGTAAGAAGGCAGGGAAGAAGGTAAGAAGAAGGTAAGGTAGGCAGGTAAGAAGGGAAGGCAGTCTAGAGATAAGGTCTTAATTTTTTTTGTTTTAAAGCTTATTCATTTCCGAGAGACAGAGACACAGTGAGGGGAGAGAGAGGGAGACCCAGAATCCAAGCAGGCTCCAGGCTCTGAGCTGTCAGCACAGAGCCTGATGCATGGCTGGAACTCACTGACTCCAGGATCATGACCTGAGCTAAAGTCGGAGACTTAACTGACTGAGCCACCCAGGAACCCCATGGAGAGGTTTTAAATTGAGTGCTCAGCAATGGCCTCACTGGTATGACGACATCTGAACAAAGAGACAGCCATGGATGGCTGGGAGAAGAGAATTCCAGACAGAGGCCCTGCTGCGAGGCCCTGAGGGAGGAGCAGGGCCGTGCGAGGGCGGGGGTGGGGGGGTGGGAGGAGGGGCACCGCAGGAGGATATGAGGTCAGAGAGGGAGTTGGGCTATTCTGTGGGTGGCCTGATAAGCATTTGGACTTCAGCTTTACTCGGAGTGGAGACCCAGCGGACAGCGGCGGGGGCGGGGGTGGGGGGACCTGGTCTGGTCTGCGGTGGAGAATGCGCTCAAGGGCCAGGGAGGCAGGGAGCCCAGTTACAAGACAGGTAGCAGGCTGGGAACTCGGGTTTTTGTCCTCAACTCAGGGCTCTTTCCGTGTACTTAGCCCTTGGCCCACCCCAGACTTGACGTCTGAAATGAAGGTCAGAACCTACAGCGGACTCCGGTCTAGAGGAAAGGTTTCTAGGAAAGTTGTTAAGTCCAGTCCCAACATCGCGCATTAGACAAGTTCCAGGGTGAGGTTCTGCAGCACGGGAAGCCCAGGCGGGGGTTCCAGTTACATCACTGACCAGCTGTGTGGCCTCGGGCGAGTCTACTAACTTCAGACCGGCTCAGTTACTTCATCTGTAAAATGGGGTTAAATGCTCTGACTGCTCCATCGCAGCAAATGAGATCATTCGAAAGCACCTTTTAAACATCATTATCATTCACGAGAGGCAAATGTGAAAATGCAGTGGACCTCTGGGGGCTGAGTTAGCACAGCACTTTCAAACTCGTTTTCGAAAGCGCCGAGTCCGGCTTTGTCTCCGGCGGGGTGTGTCGGAACCTGCTCAGCTCGCACCTAGCACCCGCGGCGGGGCTGGGAGCCGCGGCGGCCAGCGCGGCGGAGGGGGCCGGGCTGGAGAGGGTGCTGGGGCGGGGCTGCGGAGAACCCGGACCCCCGACCCGCCTCGGGGTTCACGCGGCCGGCGCGCTGTGCTGCGAGCGGCCGCGGGCCGGCGGGAGGCCGGGCGGGGCGGGGCGGGGCGGAGCCGTCCCCGCCCCCGCGCGCCACCCCCTCCGCGCTCTCCCTCCTCACGCCCGCCGTAGGCTCCCGGGACCCGCGCCGCGCGCTCCTTCTCCGACAGCTGCAGGGAGCCCAGCGCACCGCGTCCTGCCCCGTCTGTCCCCGCGGGTCGCCGCGCCATGACCACCCAGCAGATAGTCCTCCAGGGCCCGGGACCATGGGGCTTCCGCCTCGTGGGGGGCAAGGACTTCGAGCAACCCCTGACCATTTCCCGGGTAAGAGCGGTCGGGACGCGCACGGAGCCGGGAGCACCCCAGCTGGGGAGCGGCGGGCCGGGAGGGGACCTGGGGGCTCGAGGTCGCACTGCCGGAGACCGCTGTAAGGGAGTCCGGGCCCGAGCCAGCGCGGCCGGTCGCATCCAGGTGCGCCTCGCGCCCGCCGCTCCTTCCCGGCAGCTGCGCTCCCGGGCCAGGCGAGCGGGCGGCGGCCGGGCGCGCACTCCGGTGTCAGCGCGCGCCACGGAGGGGGCGGTTTTCGTTCTTTCGCCACCGAGGCGCGGCCCGGCGTGTGGACGCGCCTTGTCCACGCGCGGGGGCGTGAGAGTCCCCGCAGATACCGCCCGCTCGCAGGTACCCCAGTATCCCTTCCCAGTTCTTCACAAGTCGCCCGAGTGGCCGAAAGTAGATTGGAAGCAGCAGCCGGAACGACCTCGAAGTGAGGTGGAGTCGGTGGGAAGTTTACCCCGGGCAGGTGTGATGAATTTCGGAAACAACTAGTTTTCCACTCTTTTGCACTTACTCCGTGGCCAGGTCTCACCTCCCTCTTACCTTTTGGAGAAAAGGCCGGGTTTTGGAAACAAGCAGGCCCAGATAAACGCTGTTGGAGACTCCCCTCCTCCTGCAGCAGATGGCCATCCCTTATTTCAGCCTGGCGTTCCCAGATTACCAGCCGAACAGCCACTTTTCCCCAGGGATACTGGCGGGCAGGAGTTTCCACTTTGCGTGGAGGGGGGATTCTGCTTGAAAGCTTCTTAGAGGGGCGTCCTTTTTTGGGGAGACCACCAGGCCCATTACCCTGGAATAAAGCAGATCCCCCTGGGAGACTCAGACTCCGGGTTTGGAGGCCCAGGCTTCGGTCGTCGAGTCTGGAGTAACTGTCATGTCCCAGTGTGAGTTGCCCTATTCACTGCCTGCGTCTAAAAGGCAGACAATAAGTATTTTCCGACTAATGAAAAAGGGAACAAAAAGCATTCTCTGGTGTCCACACCCTGCCTAGAGGTTTGGTATTCCATTTTGGGGGCCATCTGCTTGCTAAGCTGACCCTAAACTTGCCTCCCCAGCCATCTTAACATCCCTTTGTTCTTCGCGGGAGGATGGAGAGGGAAGGGGAAGGTCCCTATGGGTGTTTTGTTTTATTTTGTTTGTTGGTTTTTACTTAAATCCCTGCCTCCAGCAGCTGTAGGAATATGGTGGGGGGTGCAGGAGGCAAAGAATTGGGGGCCTCTTCGATCGCAGTCCTGGCCATATTTCCTTCCAGATGGATCTAGCCCAGTGAGGTTTTCTCTGACCATCCCATCCCCTAAAGGGGCAGGTGCCTGAGTTCTTAGGCTCCTCCCTTTGTTCTACCTGCTATCCTGAGGGGACTTCTTTTATTATTCTTACAGGTACATGCTGTCTTCCCAGCCACCAGCCAAATTCCTCAAGTATAGAAACTGCCTTTTCCTAATCCAGACCCCCGCCCCCAAGCCTGGCACAGAGCTGAACCTGGCCGTACCCAGTAAATGTTTGCAGGCTTATTAATAAATGCTTGTCCAGGGAAGGCACATTTAGACTCACTTACCTCATAGTCCATTTGTCCTTGCTCTTTGTGTCTATAATTAACCTGTCAGCCCTTTCTACTTCTGAATTTATGTATGACATGAAACCCTTTTTTAAGAAGTGGAGGATATATTGCCAATCTATTAAAAGGGCAGTTACTACCTGTCATTTTAACTGCTTTTAAGAAGTGCATGTGGCACTGTGCAGGAATGACTACACGGCGTGGAAACCACAACACCAAATTCATTGGTTTGTACCTTCATATATTTATTCATTTATTTCTGAGCACATGTTTAGTGAGCTCATACTGTGCAAAGCCCTCGGGTCCTAGCTATGAGAGGACACAGCTCTACTTTCAACGTGTCTGAGGGAAGCTTATCTTTATAATGCCCTTAGCAGTGGCTTTAATTGACAAGTGACAGTGACTCAGAGTAGGGGATATTCTCATACTCTCCGTTATTCACTTGTTTCTTCATGTCATTATTTCTACATGGAAAAAAAAAAAGGTGTGTCTCCTCACCTCCTGGGGATAGGAAAGTCATCCTGAAGGGGCCCTGAGGTGGTTGTCTGAGATCTGATGGTGGTCTGGTTTCTGCTTCTTACTTGAGTTGTACCTGCTGGTACGGCTCTGGTGAGCCATCTTACTTTTTTGTCCCTGCGATGAGGATAACTCCAACTGCTGGCTGCCCATTGAAGAGCGTGAGAATGCTCAGGGAACAGGAGTGGGGAGGTGTAAGTAGTGACAAAGAGACACATGCCTTCTGGCTGGCAGGTGCGCTACATTTATCATTTGGGGCAGACACACTTTGCTAGTATGGTTTTATACATGTAGATTTTGAGTCTCCACACCAAAGCAAACCATAAAATTAGGCCAGGAGAGGAGTACCTTTCATTTGAATAACTATGTTTGCTTTCTCTGGCGTGAATTATTCTGGTACTGGCTCCAGTCTTTTGTGAAACTACTAAAGGTTCTGAATATAACTGTAATCTTGCATGCTTAAAAGGAGTTCTTTTTCTTAAAAAAAAAGTTGTAAAATATAAATGCATTAGAAACAATTATAAAGTAAATACCTATATAATCCCCTACCCAGGACAAAAAACTAGAACACTGCCTGCACCCCAGAAGTGCACCAGACATAAATCCTGACTTATGGTAGTCACTTGCTTGTTTTTTCTTTAGTTTTACCACCTAAATATGCGTCCTGAACACCACAGCTTAAGTTCGCCTGTTTCTGAGCAGAATCATACAGAACACATTGTGTGTGTCTGTGTGTGTGTGTGTCTGTGCGCGCGCGCGCTCACACACACACTTTACTCCTCATTGTTTATTTGTATTACTGTGATAAACTTAAAATTTCAGCCTAGGTTTTCAACTTTAAATGGGCAATAACCAGCTTTCTTCCTTTTCCCAGTTTCTCCCTCAAGCCCCCTACCTTGGGTTCCATGATGCTCTAGCCACACATTTGCCTCTGTCCTCTGAGATTTTTTTCCTCTGTCACTTCCTGCTGCAAATCTACAGTTGTCTGTCTCCTTGAGTTTTTTTCTTCCCCCATATCAATATCTTATTTCCTCTAGTTGCTTTCAAGGAAAGCCCTCAGAAATCCACACCCAGACTGAAATTGCTGCCCAATTTATGTTGACTGTTTTTCTGTCCCAGCAACTGACAAAAGACAGGAAGGGGTGGGGCCAGAGATAAGGGGGTGCTCTTGGTGGGAGGGGCTGTTATTTACCTCTTGAGTAAGCCTTTGCTAAGAGCAGTGTGGTATTATGGGGAATGCTGTACCCTTTGCTCAGGTGTCCTAAAGGAAGCTTAATAATGGATAGTTGGTAGCCAGAGTGTCTTTTCTGATTTTTAAGAGTGTTATTTTCAGACTCAAGTGGATTATAAGATGTCCTAAGGGTTAAAAGAGTAGGGCCTGTCAAATTGTGAAAGGCAAGAAATGTCCATAAAGGCTCACTATTTATTAATAGCCCTTGCCCCGCACTCCCTCACCTGGGAAATACTAGCTGCTCCAGCTGACTATGGTTGATCCAAGGACAGCAGAGGAAGAGGGTCAAAGGGAAAAGCACTTAAGTGCTTCCAATGAATTTTTTTAAAGTAATCTCTACACCCTGGGTGGGACTCAAATTGACAACCCTGAGGTCAGGTGTCAGTCACATGCTCTGACTGAGGTGCCCCTGGAATAGCACTGAAGTGAATGCTTGAGCCTACTGGCGGGAAATTCACCAAGCAGTGTTGGGACCTCTGATCCAATATTCTGCTCTTACCCAACCTCCTGCATGCCCAGGTTTGTCTGGGAGGAGGGGGGAGGAGAATGGCTTTCAAGTATTGTAGTGCAAATGACCAAGAGGAGATTGTCACCTAATGGCTGAGGTCACACTCCCCTGGCTCATCAGGACTGGGAAAAGCACCAAGCAGTTGCTCTTGTTCAGGGAGCAGGGACGGGCCGTGCTCATTCTCTACGCCACCCCATTGCTCCACAGAGAGGAAAGCTGGTATTTGTTGCTTTTTACAAAGGGAAACTCTGGTGCCCATAGGTTAGTTAATTTGTTTGAATTTACATAATTTTACATTGACTGAACTGCTTCCTTGTAAAGGAGAGGGTAGAAATTGGTTAAAAATGAGCAAAAGTGGCTAAGTCAGAAAATTAATTTTTAGAGGATGATTTGACTTCCAGTATGCCTCAGAGGAAAGCCTGGGGAAGCTGCCAGAATGTCTTTGTGGCACCTGTTAAGGTGTCCAGGGTGAGGACTCTGGCTGAGCTCCTCTTCAGTCATGAGCACCACACTGGGTGACCCGGGGCACATTGCTCACTTTCTCTGTGGTTCAGTTCTCTATAAAGATAAAGTAGCAAACAAGCAACCCCGCTGGTTTTTACCCTTTGAATATGAGAGCCTACTTTTTTGCTGTTAAAAACTATCTCAGCATTAGGCAATGTGGTATTGGTTGTACCTTCGACTATGAGTTGATTAAGAAAATGTATTATGAATTCAGAAGTGCTTTCAGGTGAATTTGTGTTGTGTTATTCATCCACGAATACCTGTGTTCAGATGACTCTCATGTTAGTCACAAGATTGGTCTGGCTTTGAAGGCCATGGCCTTAGTCTCTATCTTATAATAACCATTTTAAGAGCAGCTAGCATTTCTTGAATGCCTGCTCTGTGCTAGGTGTGCCCTGGCATTATCTTCTGTGTTCCCCACAGCCCATGACAGAGACGCAGGATGTTCTGGCAGTAAATTGCAAAGCTGGGATGTGCGAGGTAGACTGGATCCCAGGCCAGCTTTAACCACTGTGTTCTGCCTCTTGAAGATCCCTAGCTGTCACTATTTCACTGGTGGTAATCTTTGCACATAGTACAGCTCCAAGAAGTGCTAATGGTAGTGCAGGTATAATGTAAGGGTGGGAAGGACCCTCTTGGGCTCCTTATCGCAGAGCCTGTTATACCCATGAGAGTTG